ATACTATGTCTTATTTGTCTTAATAATATAACATTTTTTTTATGACATTTTATGCCATACTATACTATGATGTTTTTTGACATTTTAACCATACTATACTATGACGTTTTTTGGCATTTTTATGCCTTACTATACTATGTCGTATTATTCCTTATCATAATATAACGTTTTTATGACCTTTTATGCTTTAATATACTATGATGTTTTCTTTTACGTTTTATGCCATACTATACTATGACGTTTTTTGGCATTTTTATGCCATATTATAATATGACAGTTTTTGGCATTTTCATGCCTTAAAATACCATTTCATTTGATACCTTACCATACTATGACTTTTTCATGACCTTTTATGCCTTAATACACTATCATTTTTTTTTTGACATTTTATGCCATACTATACTATGATGTTTTTTGACATTTTAACCATACTATACTATGACGTTTTTTGGCATTTTTATGCCTTACTATACTATGTCGTATTATTCCTTATCATAATATAACGTTTTTATGAACTTTTATGCCTTAATATACTATGATGTTTTTTGACCTTTTATGCCATACTATACTATGACGTAGACCTAGAAAAAAAATGTTGTGGGTGGTAAGGTGTTGGGGTGGTAAAAAAAGACATTGCAAAATAAAATGTTACAACTTAATTTTATTCAAATTTTACAACATTTTTCTCTGTAGCGGTCAACAGGATCAAACTGTTCTTGAACGCGAAACATTTCAATCAGGAGAGACGAAGAAGATGAACAAGAGAGTATGAGAAGTAAAGTAAAATCAAATTTATTGTGAACAGAAGGAATAGATTTTGGTGCTTAGACCCCGGCAGGAAGTGAATCACTATGAACAATGTCCATAGGTTTAAGGTCCAATAGGAGAAATCTTCCCCTGGAGTCTAGACACTGGTCATGGTGATGAGAAATGGAGCTCGGGAATGGGAACGTCTTGATGAGGGAACTTCTGATTGGATGGTCTGATTGGAGATGGTCTGGCATCCATGGTTGAGGTGGAGAAGGGTTGGAGATGCCTTTTTGAGCTAAACTCTCCCCCGTCGGATTAGGCTGTGCCCCCCCCCCACTCCCCTACTCTCCAACAACTCACCTAAAATAAACAAGCTCACATAAACAGCCAAAGACAAAAGCAATAAGCACACTACAAACCAATTCAAACAATGCAAACAAACAATACAGGCCTTAGCTTTGTACTGGCTATTTCCTGGGGAACAACAAGCTTTCCTCCTAAATTTACCTGCATTTCCCAATCACAAGCATCCTCTAAGCTGCCTTGCCTCCTTGTTGTCTTACCAACTTTCTCTCCCTCTTGAACAAACTTGATTGCAACTCTCTTTATTTTAGGCCCTCCTAAATTTGCCTGCCTCCCTAAATCTTCAATTCCTGCAGCTAAGCTTTTTAAAACCTGGTTATGTCGCCACGTATACCGGCCTTGCGACAGACTAACCTTACAGCCTGACAAAATGTGCTTTAAAGTTGCAGTACCTGAACACAATGAACATAACGGGTCTCTATTTACCCAGAGTTTTATGTTCTGGGGAGTTGGCAATACATCATAAGTTGCCCCTATCAAAAATCTAATACTACTTTCCTCCATACTCCACAGCTCTTTCCAGATAAGCTTTTTCTTGTCTACACCTTCCCAATTCACCCCCAGTTCCACAACTAGCTTTCTCTTTTCCTTGGGACCTGCTCTACTCCACACCGGTTTGCCTGGGCCAAGCCCCAAGCCTCCCCGGCCTATTTGGACATTACCCACAATCTCTGTATGCCTGAGCGTTGCTTCCGCCTCCTGCACTGCCATTCTTGGATTCCACTTTCTCCCCTCGATTGGGTTTGGAACCACCTTACTGACTACCACATCTTTACTCCCAGATAACAGGAGCTCTGTCCTAACCTTGGTACATTTAAACTCTTCCACTAGACTAGTTACTGGGAGCTGAAGTATGCCTTTCCCATACAGTGCCACCGTACTACTACTATATATACTAAAATACATGCTTCTATTAGTTAGGCACATATGTCAATTTATGATATTGTTCCAATTTCTAACTGGTTTCACATGTAATTTTTACACATATAGGCTATATTATATAGGCTATAGTGTATATATGTATATGATTTTACTTCATATGTACATATATTTCATATATTGAAATTCAATACATGTACATATATTACAACTGTGTGTTTCTTAATGTAAAGTCAGATCTTATATGTTAATAAACCGCTTGGTTGACAGCATTAAAAAGTCAATCTCTTTGTTTTGCAGGGGTGGGGGTTTTTTGCGTCCCTACCAATGTTGAGACCAAACCTACGTCCTTGGCCAAATCAAATTCTGCTTAGGGCCCCATAAAGGCTTCAGTGAGCTCTGCCTGAAAGTGCTCATAGTCATGGAAAGTTTCAACATCTCCAGTTTAATGGCAACTGTGCAGAAACAATCTGCCGATGAGGACCATGTGATATGGTTGAAATCTCCAGAACAAGCATGTAAGAGGACTGTGAGTTAGGACTGATTTGCCAATTCGTGTCTCCTTTTATGTTTCTAGTGCATGCAGAAAGGAGGGCCTCAAGCATGGATGCCGCCCAGGTTGTTGGTGAGGGTAACGCCTCTGTGACTCTGAACAAGCTGAAGGTTGTGGATGAGGGGACTTACATCTGCACAGTCAGTTTAGGCCCTTTCCACGCACAGCAGATCATTCAACTCCATGTTATTCGTAAGTGTCGCCCTAATCAGATCTCTCAGTTCAGAAGCATCCATGGCCTGTCTTTCAGTTCTACCTCTGTTTCTCTTTGTTTTCAGAACCACCCCATGTCTCACTCTCAGAGGAGAAGTTGGTTTTGAAGACAACATCACCTAAGACTCTGAGCTGTCACTGCAGTAAATACTACCCACTGGATGCTCAGGTCTGCAACTATGTTTTTATATGTATTCTCATATATTATCATTTTTCTACCACTGAACATCTAGGCAAGACATAAAATCTCAGGAAACTTCGGTTATTCATTTTTTGATAGCATCAAAGCCTGCGTGGATCATGAAAGTAGAAAAACCTACCTGACGATGGTCACCAGGCATTAAGCTTAAGTATTTGATCAGGTGTTTATTAGATCTGTTTGATTTTGACCAAAGTAGACTATGCATTTACATTTTTTCTTCAGTCTTTTACATTTAGGTAAGGCTTAAAGTAAATGTCCTAATGTAGAGAAGAATGGATTAGTAGTTTTCATTTTATAACTGTCTTCTGTTTTCTCCCCTTCAGATGGAGTGGTTATCCCTCTCTCCTACAGACACAGAGCCTGTAGTCTTTCCAGATCAGGGCTCTCTGTCTAGCCATCGGCAGCATGGTGATGGGACGTACTCCCTGTCATCTCACCTCACTGTGCCCCCCACTGTCTCTCCAGGCACCAAAATCACCTGCAGGGTGTCTCACCTAACCCTGGACACTCCTCTCTCTCTAAGCGTGGTGGTAGAACATGCAGAACCAGGTGATTATGTGCGGCTGTTGTTTGTTGTATATTTTATAGGAACAGTTTGACAGTTGGTTTGGAAATATATTCTATATGTCTTAAGATTGCTGATTTGCATTGCACAATGTGTACCGTAATTTGAATATTGTACCTAATGTCAACTTTGTCTACAAACCCTTAACTGCTCTCTATGTCTCTCACTCTACAGACTCCTATTGGTGGGTTTTGGGTTTCCTGGTCATCACCGTACTCTTCTTCTACCAGGTTATGAGATAAGTCAGCATGAGATTTTCCAGTGGATGACCCTGATTTAAAATTGACACCAGAGAGACTTCCTTTGTGTCATTTGTGATTTTTTTTAAAGTGGAAACAGTCAACTATTCAACCACCCCACCACATCCCCAAAACCCAAATTTTTATGCCTCCAGGTTTCGGGGTGTACATCCATCCTAATGGATGATATGTGAACACGATCTCTCAGTCTTATTTAAATTTGTCAAAAACGCATCCTTGAGGCCAAATTCACTTGGACGCAATAACGAAGGCAGAGTAAAACACCCAGTTGTAATTTTGTATTTTGGAGCATTCTCCATAGATTGGCCATCAGGACTACAGTGGGCCGCTACGCTGGTGGACCATAAAAAAAAGTTTCTAACAGCTCTGTCAATCTCTTTACTGGCCCTATCTGTGTCCCCAGGCCAGACCCAACACATAAGTCCAGGGCTGAATTTCTGTCCCAATCTGACTGGCTCTCTGCAGCGAGTGAATGCCCATCCAAGGTTCACTTTTGTTTTACCTCGGTTTCTATCACTCTATCTCTTCGCCTTATTTGCCTCTTCCAACAAGAGGGCTTCTTTCCTAGTTACTCAAACAGACACACTTAATTTTCCTGGGAAATTTTGTGCCTGGTGGCAGATAGAATTGCATAGTGAAAGTGAGGCTTATATGCTATCAATCGAAACTCAGATGGTGTCATTATTCTATGGCCATTACGTTGTGCAATAAACATTTACTTAACAATTATAAGTTAAAACAAAAAAAAAACTTTAGGTTATTACTGATTTCATTAAAAGTCATCACTGGTTCTTTTAACTCCTCTGCTGAACAGAAAAATACAAATTAGGGGTAAAACTGTATTTTATTGTCTAGCTCTATTATGTATTTGCTTGATATATTTGTTGTTGAGTGTCGTTGGTGGTTGAATTGTACATGTGTAGGCAGTAGGCACTCTCAGCTTCTCCAGACAGTGAATAACAAGTCAGATCAGTGGCACTGTGAATATGGTTATCTGAGATATAATCTCAGTAATGTGTGTAGAGTCAAATATAGAATTTAATGTTGTTTTATTTACAAGTTGTCAGTTTATAAAAACAACCTATTTCTACTTTGATGTTTAGAATTATGCATATTTTACTATACTTTTGCCCACCAGAGAGCTCTTCACAAGAAGAGCAGCTTTAAGTGAATACAACTTCAGTGGTTTGTTTTATAGGTTGTGCTAAAACTTTGTTAACAAACAGACTGTTGTATTATTCTATTGGTTTAAAGCCTCAAATGATTGTTTCAAAAAAGTCTTTATTTGTTGTGCTCTTCCCATTTGATTCTCACTGGTACTATTTTAATTGTATCCTGTGTTTTAATGCCTCTTTGTTTTTGTGTGATGTTGATATTGTAAAGGTTTTGTCATTTTCTTTTCACAATGAAGGATTTCATGACCCGGCAAATTTTTAAGGTATTTGACATGATCAATATTCGTACAGTTCCTGTTTTACAACTGATTGAAGCTATGTTGTAAACAAATCACAGGGTTTGTGTTTTGTAAGATTTCAGTCAGAATCAGAGTATTGATGCAGTTGGTATTGTGCACATGTGCATTGAATTGTAGTAAAATGCTTTCAAACCACAAGGTCTAAATTGGCTCAATCTATCAAGAAAATATGACAAAGGTCAGCCGTCAGTTCTATTGATGATTTATTTATTGGCATCAGCAAAAGTGGTAAGCATGCACAAATCCATTTGGATCTCTTACTGCATTTTCAGGTTGGAAATTACACATTCTCATACCTCATGTGGTAATTACCTAATAATATTGTTGCACAATATATCATCAGATAATTTTGGCTAACCGCTACAATTATGCAACAATGCACTTTGCATGTAAGATTGTTTGCATTGTCACAATTTGATCAGCTCTCCAAATCAGTCCAAAGAGGAAAAACTGAGCTTTTCTTTTATATCCAGCAACCCCCACAAAACCTGAAAGAATTTATAAACACATTTTCAGGAGCATAGTCTGACAGACGTGTACTATGGTTCTACTCATACAATACTACATGTTTTTAACAGTTGTATGCAGTTTCTGAATATTATTTTTTCTCTCCAAAGCAAATGAATTTAAAATTTTGGCAAACTCTTGAGCATCATTGCATTGCATAAGCAGTAGTTATCAGATCAGAAAGACAATATACATAGGTCCTTAAAACCACTAACAAAAGAAAATGTACAATCGGCAGTTAGATTCAGAAATGGCAGATACACAGGTCACACAAATAGGCAAAACTATGGACACCGTTTGCCATGCAAGTTAGAAACAAACACCTCATTTTGGCCGTTACCTTTACTGCAGGTGAAGGTTGAGTCTGTTTTCATGTGAGTGAGTGGGGGGCGGGGCGGGAGGGCCAGGTGGCTCTGGGTTTCCAAATCAAGTCTTTTCTCCCATTTTCCTGCTTTTCTAGAGATCAGGTCAACTTAAACAGCAATCGAACCAACACTTTGTCAGGACAACTCTCAAAACAAGCGGACGTTTGTACCTGTTTGAAATGTGACGCTACACATTCATCTGTCTATGGCTGTGACTCCGTCCAAGTCAGAGTTCAGAAACCTTCCTCTGGGTCGGAGCGGTCGTTTCACATCTACAGTAGATTGTCGGTTAGTGGCTGCTTGACTGTTTGCCTTGCTGTGCATATTACTATGCCACTAAGCATAAAACTATGACTATGCCATCACATGTGGTACAAGAACTCCATTTCAAATGGAGAATAGTTATAGAATTACTTTATCAATAATTGCTTATCAGTTCAGAATTGTCATTTATTTATACAGAAAAAATGCTGCAATGCTCTTACTACCTCTCCCTGAATCACTTCTTCCTCTACATAAATTCTCACACAGTCTCTTTCCCTATTCCACATTTCTCTTTCCATGTCATCACTGAACGTCGCAGAAATAAAGTTAGGCAGGGAGGGAAAAGAAAAAGTTACTAATAAAAGCCTATCAGCTAAGACTTGGAAAAAGCTATTCGCTACAATGCTTTGGATCACAAATACACACACGCACGTACAACAAAAATGATCATAATCTTAATCTAACATGACCTTGTGTTAGTAAGCAGCAATGATGGTAGCAGTGGTGACAGAAGGAGTGTGTTAGTTCGGTATGTCAGTATCAATTTACAAATGTAGGACTCTCAAAAAAGGTAACATGAACAAGCTTTGGTGTATCAGGGGTAGACAGGACTGCAAACTGTTGTTCAATCTCCCTGCACACATTCACCATCTGTACATTGTACGTCCGTCCCCCCCACCCCCCATAGCTCCATTCAGTGGGCTTAGCCCTGTGTGTTCCCGTGTCACAAGGATTTTCTCTCTCCCTCCTTCCCGTTCTTTCTTCCTCTTTCACTCTGCCTGCCGCGACCTTCAATAATGCATGAGGTGCAGACACAGGAGAGAGTGAGTGAGACTTCTCGCCAAAACAGTGGAAGAAAGCAATAAGAAGGGAGGGAAAGGGGGGACAAAGAAAGCAGAGACACCTATAAAACACTACTGTCATGTGTAAGTGCAAGATGGTTTGATGGAAGACTGTGAAGAGAGGGAGGAGAGGGGGGGAGTAGTGGCGCTTGTTTTATTTTTTATTTTTTTCTCTTCCCTCTCATGTCATTCTCAAGTCCGTATCCATCTGTATTGATGGGCTGCGCTCAGTAGAAGAAGTACACTGCAAATGAAGGAGAGAGGAAGTCGTTAGTCTAATGAATATGGCAAAACAGAACACATAGTTCTACCTCTTATGTAGAATTTACAGGGGGTTTGTTTTAAATAATGGGTAAGATTGGAATAATATCAATAATGAATACTGTAATAAAAGGTCATGAATAATTGACAATCAGAGTAGAAGAAGGCAGGCCAGATGTGGTTTTGTAAGACAAGAAACAGAAAATAATATTCTGATGTTGTCTTATATCTGCCAGCATCCTTTAACAAAAGCAGAGGAACCATCTCTGTATCTTAATGTCCTGTAAAAATTACAGCACTGTATAATATATATACAATATATTGACATGTTAATGTCATACAAGTTGCTACTATGTACAAAGAATCTTTTTCTCTATAACTATAAATTAGCCAAATGGGAGGAAAGCCAACATGTAATGAACATCCACTTTTAAAAATAATGTTATCTGTTGTCAGTAAATCAAGATCAAGATCTTCTACTTACAGAATATTATTCCAACCACAATGACTCCAATGATTCCCATCATGATCATCATCTGAAAAAAGAAAAAAAATACATTTACTACACATGGTGCATCCATTTGCAAAGGAATCTACAGTAAGACACAGGCCTACTATTACTATTCATGGAGTCCGGTGCTTGCAAACAGAAAAAGCAGTTAACCCACTTGAGAGTAGTTGCATTTGTTGTGCTTCAGTTATATAATCTCGTCAGAATAACCACGTCTTCAGTGAAAGCTCTACAATAACTGACTTCTTTTTCCCATTTTCACTGAGGCATATGTTCCGTCCTCCACAGCAGCTCATTAACAGATCAGGGTTGTGGAGAACAGGATGACAGCATCCCCCCAACAAACACTACGTTCGCCTCAACGCACCTCATCTTGAACAGCTGTGTGATGCTTTAAAACAAAAGAGCTGAGGAGTCATGCTTGATTTAGATCCTCCATTAGCTCTACAGTATATTCATGCTATATCTCTACGCACCATACCACATACTAACAGGCATACTGTTAATGCACTATGAGATTCTTTCAGTGACAACAGTCTGTTAAATGGACCTGCAATAATGTCCTCACCTTGCAGTTCTTCCACCAGTACTTGTTCTTTAGCTTGGCTGCGCAGCTTTCAAACTGGGAGGCTCCGGCCTGGAGAGCGTCTGCTCTGTCATCCAGCTCTGAGAGCTTCTGGTCCCTTTCCAAAACCTTGTCCACATTCACCCGCATGATATCCACCACCTAGCCCACAGTGGTGAAGATGAGAAAGCATTTGGCAGTGGTGTGGAGGGGAGATGACAGGGATGAGAGGCATAGTTAAAGGAGAGCAACACGGGGGGGACAAAGGGGGTTTCTGGAGATTTATATTTCACATATATGAATAAGTAAGTAGTCGCAACCATTTTCAAATTAAAGCAGAGGCCATTATATTTTAAGAAGACCAGACTTTTCCAGAGAATGACCAACAACAAAGCATTTTGTTAGTTTGTGAATCTCTTGCCCAGTATGAGCACTGTACATATAAAGTCCAGATGTTTCACAATTAAGCTACTGATGAGGCTCCCCAACTGCTTTAATCTTGAATCATTGCATGTAAAATCTAATTTGGGCCCAGAATCTTGGTCTGGCCTGGTCCAGCTCACCTCCTCAACTTGGGCCTGTGTCTGCTGTAGCCTGCGGTTGCTGCTGGTGTTGGGTGGGGCTGGAGGTCCGCCACCTGGGGCTCCATCTGCACCGGGGGCTCCTGGAGCACCGGGGGCTCCAGCTGGGGCGGCGGCATCTGGGGCAGACCTGAGAAGAAGCACGAGGAGGAAGAAGAAGGGAATATATTGATATTATACATTTGATATTCTAATGACTCCATTTAATGCAGAAAAGAAAAAAGTCTTTATCATCTGAAGGAGAAAATTGAGGAGAATTTGAGGGATAAAGCCACTTTGGAGAAATCCAACACATAGCAAAAGAGAAAAACTGTGTGTAGGTGTAGGGGTAGGAATGCAGGAAATAAGATGTGAAGGGGGGAGGAAAAGAGGAAAGAATGAGTGAAGGTGAGAGTGAAGAATGAGGTAGGATTAAAAAGAAGATGCAATGGGAAGGGAGAAAATATAGGACACAGATGTGAAGCAAGAAATAGAAAGTCCGGCCCAAGAAGACGCCAGCTATAAGAGTTAGAGGATAATGGAGGATAAGATTTTGGTGAAAAGAAGGGAGGGGGAGAAGTTATTGTGATGGATTTAAAGCAAGGCTGGAAAGTGGTGTGCAGAAAAGCAGAAAGGGTTAACCCAGCAGGGGGGAGAGGAAAGGGTACAGGAGGTGTACAACTGAGCAAACAAGCTCCTCAGGAGACCAGCCACTGACTCAGCTGCAGGACAGTTTCATACAAAGCACACAAATTCAAGCAATTTTGCAGATAAGGATCAGAAATGTCCTCATCATCAATGTTCCCCAACGTGAAGCAGGTGACGACTCCAAAGTCCCTCAAACCCTCTAACCCACAATATAATCTATAAGAAACTCGGTTTTTTATTTAAATCTGTGGCGTGAGATAGTCAAAAACAATTGGACCTAACGCTTTAGGGTGACAGCAGTCAACCCTTGAATACATAATTTAGTGATGCTATGATGGAAATTTTCACTTGCGTCAGCAAAATCCGCCAAGCTGAAAGAAATCAGTTCAGCTGCAAACGCACCAATGGAAAACATACATGGAAAGGAACAGACTTGCATAAACATTTCTCCAGTCCCACGCAGTAGATATTTTATGTTATTATTGCGAAAAGAGCGCAGTAGAAAAGCCGCATTAATACTCACATCTTCTATGCAGCTGTTTGAACTGACTCACGGGCAGCGGAAGGGGGGTGACGGGCTGTGAAGCAGGAG